ATAATAATAAATATATATTATATTGTAATTATATATATTAGATTATAGTATAATATAATATAGTTGTAATTTTTAACTATCCACAGCAATTCAACCTTATAATTTACTAAATGCTATTATATTGATTTCTAGAACCATCACAACTATTATAATTATAATTTACCAAACACTCAGCTGCTTTTTGTAACAATTGCTTCTTCCATCAGCACAGTTAAAAATAATTTTTTTTTAAATCTACAACACTACTAAACTAAGTCATAGTAGAGCAAATATAATAATAGCCACACAAATATAAAACTTAAGAAAAATAGCAACCACACAAGTTGCACTTCAACTACTCACACTAAACTCACAACACCTAATTACCAACATAAAATATGTAGCATTATTTTAGGCTTGTGTATTTGGGCTGGTGATAATCTCTAACACTCCCCCTCAGCACCAACTCCTACTCGCTGTACTATTCCAAGCTGTCGACGAAAATTTTTAAACTTGCTAGTACATAAACCTTTTGTGAATAGATCCGCAACTTGATCATCCGTCTTGATTTGTCTCATCTCAATCTCTCCTTGCAGAACTTTTTCCCTAATAAAATGATAGTGTACTTCAACATGTTTAGTTCTCACATGAAAGATTGGATTTTCCAAGCGAACTACCGACTAATTGTCGCAGTACAACGGAACTGCATAATCCACTAGTTGACGCAGATCATTCATCAACTGTACCAGCCATGTATTTTCTTGAGCTGCCATTGCCGCAACTCGGTACTCTGCTTCTGTGGTTGACAACAAAACTGTCGGTTGCCTTTTGCTGCACCATGAGACTACTCCAAGTTTGAAAACATACCCAGTCGTTGATCGGCGTGTGTCATGATCTCCGGCATAATCGGTGACGCAGTAGTCGACCATCTTGCAATCTTCACCTTTCTTGTCCAAGAGACCATAGTCAATTGTATTCTTCACATATCTCAATACTCGTCAAACTGCTTCTAGATGAGGCCTTTTCAGACTTTGCATGTGTCAACTCATCACACCAATTGCATAAGAAATATCAGGTCGAGTCAAGGTTAAGTAGATTAGACTACCTACCAATTGTCGATACATTGTCGCATCTTCCAAGTCCTTTCCTTCATCAGCTCACATCTTGGCATTTGGTTCCATTGGTGTCGAAATCGGCTTGCACTCGAGCATTCTGAACTTCTGTGAAGGTCTTTTGCGTACTTCTGCTGACAAAGAAATATTCTTACCTTCATATGATCAACTTCTAATCCAAGAAAGTGTTTGAGCTCTCCAAGCTCTTTCATCTAGAAGCGAACTGATAAATTCTCCCTTGATCGGTGAATCTCTCTATCATCGTCACCGGTGATTATCATATCATCCACATACACCAGCACTATTGCCAATTTTCCTTCATTAGCTTTAACAAATAAGCTTGAATGTGCATGTGCCATTGAATAGCCACTTCGAGTTAGGAATACAGCGATCTTACCGTACCACGCCCTTGGTGCTTGCTTTAAGCCTTAAGTGCTTTTCTCAACTTATACACGTATTTCGGATGAGCTTTATTCTCAAATCCTCTTGGTTGATTCATGTAGATCTCTCGATCTTACTCTCCATGTAGAAAAGCAATCTTCACATCCATATGCCACAAGTTCCAACCTTTACTTGCTGCAAGTGCAAGCAGGACTCGTACGGTTGTAAGTTTTGCTACAAGACTAAACGTTTCATTATAGTCTAGTCCATATTACTGAGAGAAACCTCGAGCCACTAACTGAGCCTTGTATCTCTCGATTGATCCATTAGGACGACGCTTTATCTTGTAAACCCACTTACAGGATATGGGTTTCATGTCTTCAGGCTTTGGCACTAAATCCCACGTTTGATTTCTTTCCAGAGCGATAATTTCCTCTACCATGGCCTTTACCCATTTAGAGCTCTGAGATGCTTCTTCATACGTCTCTGGCTCTTTAACACCTTCTTCTGCTTTGGCCGCGTTGGCGTACTTAGGATTTGGATTTTGTATTCTCGTTGATCGTTCTAAGCGATGACTGTGGAGTTTATGCTTCCGTTTCACTAGGTGCACCATCTTTGCCTGGTTGTTGTTACACACCAGTTTGCCAAGGATTCTAAGTTACTTCCTGCTTGACACGATCACACTTGGGTCTTCAGGCTCGTCTAATCTTGACAGAATTTGTGCAGTTTGCTCGCCCATCTTCTGTTGTAGCTTTTCTTCAATTTCTTCAGTGTCTAGTAACACCTCCTTTTTCTGGGGACCACCATGAAGATGCTTCATCAAAGACTGCATCTCGTGATGTGTAACATCTTCCACTTGTAGGATCACAACACTTCCACCCTTTTCTCTGGCTGTCATATCTCGCAAAAATACATCTGACTACTTTCTTGTCAAACTTGCTACATTAATGGTTAGGAACAATAACATAGCAAACACAGCCGAATACTCGAAAGTAGCTAACTGTAGGTTTCATGTTCCACAATTTCTCGAAAGGTGAAACAAATCCTAACCTTGGTTGGGGAAGTTTGTTGATCACATGAGCAGCAGTTCTCATGGCTTCGGCCCAAAACCTTCCTGGTGCATTCTTTGTGTGTAGCATGCTTCGACATTATGTGTGTAGCATGCTTCGACAGATTTCTACAAGGTGTCGGTTCTTTCTCTCCGCTACGCCATTTTGTTGTGGTGTGTTAGTGCAAGTGAACTGATGGTGGATTCCGCACTCTCGTAGATATTGAGTGAGTTCTTTTGAGTTATATTCTCCTTCATTATCTGAGCGCAAACAACGGATCTTCTTTCCCACTTCTCTTTCATCTATTGCTTTGAATTCTTGAAACTTTGAGAAAGTTTCAGATTTTTCTTTCATAAAGAAAACCCACACATATATGGAGAAGTCATCAATAAACGTCATCATATACCGCATCCCGATAACTGATGGAGAAGTTATCAATGTATAGTTGTTAAATTGCTACTTTCTTATCATTTGCCAATACCTTTTTAAAAGGATAAAATAGTATTTTTAAGCATGATTTAGATGGATTCTATGAATCCTCCCATAAAATGTTGTACTCTCTAAAATATTGCTTTAATTTTGTTGCAATAAGGGAATTCATAACTGCAATAGTTGTAAACGTCCCTCATCAAAAGGTTTCTCTACAACAGATATTCGAGTTCACATAGCGTTTGGTGATGCCCGTAAGTTTGCAATTCCAACTAGAAGTTATTTTGGGTTAATATAAAAACATCAATAAAATGCACTAGCAATTAAAGTTTAAGAGAATTAAAAAAGTCAAAAACAATAGAACCCCATCAAGATCTATATGCAAGTTTTGACCAAGGGTCTGCTTAGAGCAACGGTTGCAACCATACATATATTATTAGAACCTAATTTCAGGATTAATTCCGTTTAGTTGTGACTTTTGAAGTAGCTAATATAAGTCGCGAGAAAATCAGCTATGACTAAAGGTCTAAATGCATATGAAGCAGTGTTTTTAAAGGTGTTGTGAATTCGGAAGCAGCATTTTACCATATGAATTCATGGATAAACTTTAAATCATCTTTCGTACAATTTTGTCGCTGTCACGACCCAAAAAAGGGCCGTAATTATTGGGACTTAATTGAAAGTTTAAATTTAATTAATCAGGATTAATAAAAAAACTAAGAAAATAAATATATCAAAATAAATATTAAAATATATTGCTCCGGAGTCTTTCGTTTACAAATAATACTAAAACAGTTCATAAATTTATAATTTTTCTCAAAATAATACAATTTTGGGACAGTGCCGACTATTACAGTTTACATACATAATTTTCAGTACAACTCAAAAATAAAAACTGTGAAATCAAAAATAAACGAACCATCTCGAATCTCGAGCTTGTAAAACTGCTAACCCTGAGGGGATTTAAAGGAGGGGTAAGCAAAACAAGATAACGACAAGAAAACAAGAAAGAGACGCTAATCACAGTGTTTGAAATATCGATCAAAACCATGACGCATAACTCAAGTGCATGTAAGAGAAATATGAAAAACATGTGAGTCTCAACAGATGCAATCAAACGCAGAATGAAGCTGATAATCAAGTATTTCAAAAACTCTTTTAAAATACTATGTCATTTTCAAATTCATTTCAAAAGTGATAAGGTATCCAATATCAAAATAATCTACTTGAGATGCCTATAATGAAATAATTATAACTGAAATTAAAACGCTAATTTTAAAATTAATTAATACTAACGACTGAGTTAAATTAATTAATCTCATTTAATTTAACTGGGTGTTACAGTCGCGTGCTCACCATGTCTACTAAAACCTAAGAGAACAAATAGAGTCAATCCCAGAAAGAACGCATGTGGAAGGAAAATTTAGAAGTTGATGAACCTCAACTAAAAATGATGAAGCTCAAACCTACTTGAGATGCCTAGGATACAAACAAATTAAAGCTTATCATGAAATTATAAAGAGCGTAAAACCTTCACAAGTTAATAGAGGTTTTCCATTGTAATTATCCATATTTTCTTACCTCAAGCAAATTATTAAGTTTTAAAAGAAGGGCTTGAAAAGGCTACACTAGCAAAGGCTAATCACTTTACATACCTAACTTTAGTTCTCACCAGCTGGAAGGGAGCTTAACTTGGACAAATAAAGCTTCATTTGCTCTCAACCTCAGCCAACCTTGAATTGGCAATTCTGACAACATAAAAGGACCATGGATGCAAATTATAGTTAATTACTTAAAAACGGATTTGGCTATTGAAAAAAGAGAAACACGTATGCTAATAAGCATATACTATAGTATAAAACGTACAATCAATATTTTAATGTTCAAAATATTGAAAGCAGGCCATGGCCCCATCTATGTACTTAATATGCATGCATACCTCTGTCTAATTCCCCGGATGCTCTCAAGAAGTTCAAGTGTTTGCTGCACCCTGAAGTTTTTGGTTTTCGCCTCACTGTCCAATATCAGGGTTGAGACCCTTAAAACAGTGACAAGTTCTGCCTCAATTATGTTGAGCTGTTCATCCAGATGTCCTAAGAAACCCCCAAAAGAAGTTATTCCTTTCAAACCACTCATAACCTCATCTTCACTTGACACCGTTCCTGGCAGAGATCCTTCAAGATCCTCTTGCTCCTGATCGACAGGTAAGCTTGCTTCACCGTCCTCTGTACTGGACTGCAATTCTTGATCATCGCTGAATTTCTGATCATTGGACGTAAAGCCTTCGTTTCCGATCACATTTTCTGTAGCTTTCAGTGTTGGAGATACTATCCGAATGGGAGTGGAAGCATCCTCACTAACAACTTCAAGATCCATAACAACATTTCCAATTAGCTGCCTTTCTTTCAGAGATATCGCCTGAAACCAAATTAGGCTTCTTCTGTTCAGAAGACAGGCTGAAAGATAAAGTTCTTAAATAAGATCAAACAAGATATGAAAAGAAGGTTAAACAAGAACAGTGAAAGAAACAGAATGGTTTCTATTGATAGTATCCGTCAAGCTATGTTGATTACTATAATTGAGTAATGCAGAAGCCATAAACAGATTAACATAGGTGGCCGACTGAAACTCAGATTGGGGTTGATTCCAGAGTTTTGCTTTTGGCTTTTGCACAAAATTTAATGTGTTTATAACAAAATAACTAAAAATGATTGGCAGAAGAACCAACATACATTGTGAAAAACAAATGCATTTCTAAAGCATTTTTGAGGAGCAAGATGTCACGGCCGCACATTTTTGGCCTATTTTTACTTATTTAAATACTCAAGGATTCGCTAGAGTATTTTTTTAAAGGTTTGCTGTCATATGGAATATCCTAGAAAATCAGGCATTTTGTAGGAAACTTGAAGTTCGTACTACTCTCTACAATGTTCTAGAACATCCAAGAACATACTAAAAACAACAAGATCTTATAGAACATGCTACAATAAGATGTTTCTAGAATTCTCTGGAAGTCTCTAAAAATCTTTGAGTATCTTCTGGAGCTCTCTAAAAAATTTATATACTTGTAGAACATAGAGGTATATGGCCTAAAAACATCCTAAAAACAATAAGATCTTTCTTGTTCTCTTGCTCTTTTTGCCTATTTGTTTGAGGGTAGTTAGATTGACATATGCGTGACGAAGTGTTATCTTTTGGATTATGATTGACACAAAAACCAATAAAACAAATTTGAAAGGAAAATCAAGTAGTATAGATTATAAATTTTCATTCTATATCCAATTATGTAAGCATACAAAATAATCACCAAAATTTTCTACTGTCTCCTGATTTTCAAAATTTCTACGACACAACACCTTTTTTGATGGACGAAACAGCATATTTCAATGACCCTTTGAAGAAAACTCGAGTAATAAAAACTTTTGTATCAAGTGATTTCTTAGTTTCCAGCATACCTGATTAAGCTTTGTGGAAAGTTGATCAAGAAACTCAATGCGATTCTTAGATTTTTCCAAAGCCTCCATGACCTTCTTCTTCTGAAAGAGAAGCTCCCTCGCAGCGTCTTCCTTCCCAGTTCGGACGCTAATAGCTGCTTGTCGTTTAAGGTTCTCAGCCGCCTCCGACAGTCGCAGCAGCCTCATTCTTGCATTGTTAGCTACAAAACATAATTTCGAAAAAAAAAAAAAAAAGAAAGGAAAACTTTATTGTAAACCGGATGTAGAATTCGTCAAAAACATAAACAAAAAAGTGTAAATTGAACGTAAATTGGACGTAAAAAAATGGTTTTTGCAGTCAAAACGCAAATGGGTAAGGAGAATTGAAACCAATAATAGGAAAGAAAGCGGAAAACAGTTACCTTTGGCTCTGGCAATGTCAGCCTCGGATTGAAGCTGATCAAGTTGAGCGCGTAGCTGCTCTGCGTTGGAATTCGAAGCTAAGCACGTCAGCCTCCACCAAGGCTTGCATGCCACAGCCATTACTGACCCACCACCGGAGTTCAACAGCATCTCTCTCTCTCTCTCTCTCTCTCTCTGGATGAACTTGGAACTGAAGAAGACGACGGAGAGGCCCTACGTTTTTTCTTTTCCCTTTTCCCCCACAAGGCAAAACGAATGTCGTTTATCGTCAATTTTGGTTTCTAATGAGTATACGACATGCCGTTTTATTTGAGAAAGGAGAGCGAATAAATGCAATGCGTCTGTTTTAGTTCTGTTGGTCGTCGTTCGCCTGTTTGACTCATCTTCCTTTCGAGACTTTCCTCCGGTAATTTCCCTCCTTTCCTTTCCTTTTGTTTTTCCTCCCTCTCTCGTTTGCTTCGTTTAGTTTAATTTAAAAATAAATTTGTTAAACAAAACAAAACAAAAAAAGCATGAAGTAGTTGGGAGAGACTGGGTAAATCAATTTTGCTAAAATTTGGATAAGTTTTTGTTCTGCATGTTGCGTGTTTGTTCAAATGCCTAGAAAGCCAAAGCGGTATTTTATTTCATTGTAATGCCAATTTCGTTGGTTTTTGGTGATTAACAGTGATTGTTGCTTTGTGGGTTTGTTTCGCATGTTTCAATATTCAGTGTTGGTTCAGAGTTATGCTGATACTACCTGCTTGGTGTTTGGCTTTCTATGTTATTATTATATTTGTGGGAGGTTTTTTAGGCGTGTCTTATTCCTTCTGGAAAACCCAAGAAAAGGGCTCCATTGTTTCTGCATCTTATATTGTATTATATACACACATATATATATACACATATTATTTATGCTATTAGTTTGAGCATCTAAACTTCTAATCAGAATAGCCTTTAGTTTTGTGCTAATAGTAATTGCGATGTTGTGATAGCTCTGAGCTATGAAGATTGGGTTTTGTTTACTGTGAAAGGTTTGACAGGATTTGTTTTAGGCCAAAATTGATGAGCCTTCATAAGTTCTATGTAGTGCATCACTATTGGGGGACTTGTTTTCTGTTATTCAATTTAGTGTTCTTACTTGATTTTTTTTTTCTTTTTCAGATTCTTAAATACTTTTCTGTGCAATCAAAATTAACAAATCAAGGTTAACTTATTGAAAAGTGAAATTCTGAAACTTTCTCTAAGTATTCGACTTCTATGGCGGATTCTGATGAAAAGCAAGAGACTGAACAAGGTACCTTCTCTCTTTTCAACACTCTATTTGTTACGTTTCCTTCTGTTTCTGTTATATGCTGTGTTGTTGCATTTGCCTGTCAATCCATTATCCAAACTATTAATGTCTTTCTTAATTATTAGTATGCAACTTCTTCCGGAAGCCTTCAAAGAACAAAAACATCAGGAAACGAACAGTTAAAGATGATGATGATGAAAAATCAAAATCCGAGACCACATTCTTGCACAGCCAGAAAAAAATCCCAAAGTCCGACAATAAACTTTACTACTGGGACTTCTAAAAACTCTGCTTTTGTTGAATCAAATGTTGTATCTGACACGCCTGTCTTTCAGTTTGAATCTTCAAAGGAAATCCAGGTCCAACATGATAGTAGAGCAACAGCAACTCTAGAAATCGAGACCGAATTGTCTAAAGATGCCCGGGCAATTCGTGAGAGAGTTCTCAAGAATGCAAAGGAGGCTTTGAAGGGAAAAGGAAAGAACACTGGTGATGAAAAGTTGTACAAAGGGATCCATGGATACACTGATTACAAGGCTGGATTCCGAAGAGAGCAAACGGTTGCCAGTGAGAAAGCTGGAGGATCTCATGGCCCTCTCAGGGCTTCTGCTCACATTAGAGCTACAGCAAGATTCGATTATCAACCAGACATATGCAAGGATTACAAAGAAACTGGTTACTGTGGATATGGCGATTCGTGCAAGTTTATGCACGACCGCGGGGATTACAAGTCTGGATGGCAGTTGGAGGAGTGGGAAGAAGCGGAAAAACTCAGGAAGAGAAATTTAGCTTTGGGAGGAGCTGATCCAGACGAGGGTGGTGCAGATCAGAATGATGATGTTGACGACGATGACGATGACGATGAGGACTCATTGCCCTTTGCGTGTTTCCTTTGTCGTCAGCCGTTTGTGGATCCTATTGTTACAAAATGCAGGCACTACTTCTGTGAGCATTGTGCACTAAAGGTAGCCCCTCTACTCTATACAATCAATAGTTATGAGTTTGTTAAGCCTTATTTTCATTCCGCATTATCTGAAGTTATTTGGTTTTAACTGGCAGCACCATTCGAAGAACAAGAAGTGCTTCGTCTGCAACACACCTACGCTCGGCATTTTTAATACGGCACACGAAATACGCAAAAAGATGGCTGAAGAGCGTAGATAATGGCTGCTCATTGTCCCATTACTATCTGTTTTGTTTTTCCATGAGGGCATTCTTGCTCTTTTCTTTGTTCATTGGTGAGCTTTGAGGATGGTAATCATAATTTAGTGTATGAAAACAGCTTCTAAAAACGTGCCATTTAAGAGCTGGCTTGACAGAACCGCTGAGAGCTGCAGCATATCCAGAGAACTGTGCCTGAGTGATAGTGAAAACGCACTCCATAGACTGAACTATACTCTAGCAGGTCAAACCCATTTAATGTCCTAATGGGCCCAATTCAACCTAAATAATGGGCCCCGGTCACCTCAAATGGGCCACCATGACTACTACTACCAACTACTACTGCCGCTACTTCCTCTTCTTTTTTTTTTGCTTTTTTTGTTTTTTTTTTGTTTTTTGTTTTTTGTTTTTTTTGAAGGAATGGCCAATGTGAATTCTATCTTTAACTAATTCGTTTCTCGCTTTACATTGTCTCTGTAAGAATGCTTTTATAAACGGACTAATTACTAATATCTAAATATCATTGTCTACTTACAAAATTGGTTTTAGTTTTATTCTATTTTACATTTATCAAAATCCATATTTACAATGACATTGTTACTTGACCTTGACCGACGTCAGTACCATACGGTAAGATTAAAGTCGAAGTTAGGTTGATGGGAGCCATCCGGTAAAGTGCTTTAGCTGGGGCCATGCACCTAGAACCAACTCAGTGTCACGATCGATGCTTAAAACATATGATTCTATCTTTGGAGTTCTTAATTTCAGTCTAAAAATGATGAAAAAGTAAGTTAGGAAGTAAACCATAAAAAATCCCGTCATTAGGGCAATTTAAGAGATAGACGCATTACATATCACTATGAAAACTGATTTTACAAAAAGAGGAAAATTACAGAATCTGAAAACAAAATGGACGATCCCTATAAAAAAATGAGCATAAAGATTGCAACTTTATGATAATGAAAGAAAATTATAAAATTTATGACGTAAATAATGTTTAAGTACAACTTGAAAGTATTGTCATTATCATCAAAGATTACAACATTAAGATAATATTCACCATCATGATTAACACCATCGAACAATAAAAAGCTACGAAATCAACAAACGGGAGCATAAATATTACAACTTGATGATAATGAAATAAGATTAGAAATTAAAAAAGTTCTCTAAAAAAGGAAATTTAAAAAGATTATAATAGTGTACACTATACAAATGTGATCGTTATCTTTAAGTTCAAAACATACAAAAAAGGAAAAATGAGTACCAATAACAATTAATTTTAGAAAAGTACACAAAATTATATTTAATTATAAAATAAGGTTCTTTTTTTTTCTCAAATAAATAGAATAAGATTCTTAAAACAGACAGTTCATGTAAATTGTTATGAGGATTCAAACACTAAATTAACATACAGCAGAGTCAGATATAGACTTATTACTAGACTATAGCTACACCCATGACCCATGCCATGTAATGGCTTCTTTATATTATTGTATCCAACATCTTAGGTGAGCTTATGGCCGTGCATTTGCCAAGAATTTGTGGGATCACTAAAGAAAGTAAACTTCCATCTCTGAAATTTATGTCTAACAAGGATTTTGTCAAAACTTGTACATTGACATAGGAATGTTGCAAATTTGTTAAAAGAAAAAAATATTAAGATTCAGGATTAGTGAAGCGAGAAGAATAACATTAGTCATGTTAGCCATGCACGAAGAAGAAAAAAGGTTCAAGATAACAACTGATTTTTATTTTTCCTGCTCAAGACAACAATATTTATATATAAATTTTTTTCGTTCAATAAGACACCAATTTCTGATTGAATAAAGGAGTTATGTGTTTCTCAAACCCTCAATTTGACAGGGATTAATAGTTAAGTATTAGGTTTGTTTTATATTTTAATTATAAGAATTTGTTTGTGGCCTATCAATAAGATACTATTTGAAGCCGTAAGATCTTTATCATCTTCTATTAGTTTTGCTATATTTTGTGTTATTTTAACCTATCATTTATGAATACATACTACCAATAGGATTCTTGTAATGAAAAGAGCTTCATAATTAGATAGCTCACACTACTGAAGCATAAAAAATGTAAGTACTTAGGGCATATTCTTTTCAAAACGTAAAAATAACTCAAACTTTTCTATTAGAATGTTTTCTCTTATAAAAATTTAAATTTAACTTTCTTATTATAATATTTTCTCTCACATAAAATTCACTTTATAAGTTTATTAGTACTTTCTTGTATCAATCATACTATTTCCAAATTCAAATATGGGAACTTTAAATGTGAGTTTCCTTTTATTTTATTTCTATTTTCCTCATTGCCTTTAAATTGCCACCCCTTTCCTTGACGAAATTTCATTTTCTCTTTCTTTCTTGGATTTGGTAGGCTGAGACCATCAGCAACTGGGCCCACTTGAAAGGTCATTGAAGACTAGTTGAGCTTTGAGCCCCATGATTTGATTCAAAACCAATAATACAAAGGTCATCTCACGCTTTGCCCCATACCAACCAACTGTAAATCATGACAGCCTCCCATCAACAACGCCCACCCAAAACTGAAGCCCTTAAAAAAAAAATATGAAGCTGATTTTGACAACCTCCTAATTCGCTAGTGTTTGTCATGAGCTTTCGTTATGTCACTTATGATATATCTCAAAACAAAATTTACCAAAAAAAAAAAAAAAAAAAAAATTAAAAAAAAAAAAAAAAAAAAAAAAAATTGCATAGAAAAGA